ATGGTTCGATATAGTTCATCAGGATGAAGAATGTTTAGGGTTTTATATGTAAAACTTTGATTATAAGAAAAGCCATGTGATTTCTTAGCTTATGCATTATCCGGTTGCTCTACCAAGCTTTTTAGTACATAGAAGAGCAAAAGTTTATAAAAGCTGAATCATTTTGTTAGGAATAGGTCCCTGAGTTACCATGTTTACAAATAAATGTTCTTGTTTGTGTGTTTAAAATGTGCTGTGAGCTTTTATCATGTATTAAAAATAATTATGCAGTAGTTTGGTGTTTGCTGCTGTTACTCTTCCCCTTTCCACTGATACAAACTGTGGGTTTTTTTCCCCAGTGGCTTGTGAAACGTGCAATAGAAACAAGGGAAGAAATGGGAGATTATATCCGTTCTTACTCTATATCACAATTTCAAAAAACTCATAGACTACCAGAGGTAAGATCAAGCCAGTTCTTGTTTCTATTATAATATGCCAAATGCCTAGGTGCAGTACCAGTTTCACAGCTCTGAAATTAGCACAATATACCAGAGTTGCCTTTGCTATCATTTTATTAATCAGTCCTCCATGCACAATCAGGACTCCATGCACAAATTCAGCTGGGAAAAAAATTAAAACGTTATTATGACAGAGAGTACGTAGATACTGGTTAAATTTTGCTTAATAGTAGCCTTAGTTTTTCTGCAATATTTGGTACTTCTCTGTCAGTCTGGCTTGCCAGGTAGCTCGCTTCTGGAGTGGATCTAGAGCTCTGTGCACTGTATCCAGGCTAACCATGTCAGTGGAGCTCCATTGCCTGAAATGTGTTTGAGAACACCTGGCGTGCTGTGGAGAAGCTGATCCAGCTAAATGAGAACTGATATGCTGTTAATACTTGGGTTTTGTTTTAGAGTCCTCAAAGTCAGCTCTTGTCTCCCTGCATCTAAACCCCAAAATTTATTCTTGAAAACTAGATTACTAAAAAATTTCATTGAAAAACAACTTGGGGAAAGACGGAGAGGGACAGGTTTGGGTCAAAAGGAAATAGATTTGTCTCTGTAAAATATAATTGCCAGAGGAGTGAGAGCTGCAATTTTATCTAGAAGTGTAGTGGTAAGAGTAATTTTGCACTGTTTGAGATACCTTGATCATATTCCTTCTGATAATAGTCACATGCTGCTCGCTTCGAAGTTACATGCTTAGAACAGTGTTGTAGTCCTCTTCTTCCTGTTCTACAGTAATGACATGAAGGTTCCTTGGTGTAGGAGGAGAGCTGGAATGAGCTTGGATTTGTGCCTATAGTGTAGAGCCGTCAGTTCTCTTCATGCATATCCCAAGGCAATTCCATATTTAAAACCTAGAACCCAAGTTTTGTCTCCAATTCAGTAACAGCATTAAAGGTAGATGCCCCTAGTACTGGGAAATACAGCTGAATTTTATTAGCTTGAGGTGGTTTGGATTTTGGTTTAGATGTTTTTATTGTGTTTAATGCTTAGAAACTAAAATAACAGTAGGAGAAACTTTTCCACACTAAGCCCATCCCAACTTCATTTCTTCATAGTGTAGTAATGATTGGAGATCCTGGTAGTGGGCTGGGATTGCATTTGTGGCAGGTACTGTATGAGCAGAGAGCAGAAAGACTGCTGGTCTGGATGCAGTTTTAAAGACCCACCTTCCTATCAGATAAGGGAAGCAAATACTTTTCTGTGTTACAGGAAATTGCTAACACTTCACCAAATAATTGGGCAGCTCAGTTAGAACCTATTTGACAATTTTTTTTGCTAAACTCATTGCAGTGGTTGAGATTTGATCTCCATTACCTGGTATTCTTAATCACCTCCGTTAATGTCTTGCAGGATGATGAATTTATGCAAAGAAAAGAGAAGGCTATCAAAACCGTTACTGATATCTTTGTAAGTATGTTAGATTTTTATAATCAAGAAGCAAGTGGTTTCAATAATGAAATGGTGGCAGTTAACACTGTTTAATGCAGCCAATCCTGGGTTTTCTCATGCGAAGGTCCCAGTTAAGTTCCACATTGAGCTTCATTCTTAGAACAGGTCTGAAATGTCAACATAACAGATTGAAAATCTTTGAACTGTACACTGTACGAGTAGGTAAACCATACCACCTGCCTGCACAGAGAGTGTGGAGTTCCACGCTTTCAAACAAAAGTCACAAGGTAGCTTATGGGCCATTAAACTCTCAGCAGACTGTTTGTTTGAAGCTATCAGCAGTTGGACAATTTATCTTGTAATTAATCAAAATGGTCATGATCTCAATTTAAATGTCTGCATTTCAGAACTTGTCAGTTTTACTTCTTGTAATTAGCAATGAAAATATACACCCTGCTTTGGAAATACTTTCTTCAAGTAGCAAATGTTTGTTTGGGAAAGGTGGTATCATTGTGTTCTTCCTCTTCAGATGCAGATCTTCTAACTCTTCAATAAACGGTTTGTTTATATTTTTTGAAAGCTTGTTCATAGATGTTATCAGAAGTGACATGTAAAATACGTAGGCTATATCACTGTCTCATACCTGAATTCAGATGCCTAGCTAGCAACTTGAGTTTCTCTCCTTGCTTTCTTGTGACTGTCAATTCACCTTTTCTGACTCCCAACAGTTTGCTACCTTTTTTTTTTTTTGACCATCTTGATAAATTCACAGGCCAGCATTTGAGAAGTGATGAGAAATGTGGGTATTCTTTGAATGGGGCACTTCCAAGGCTCTTCAATAAGCTGTGAAACACCACTCTTTTGACAAAATCAATGCTATTTCAGGTAGCACTAGCCAGACACCCTAAACTCCTCATCCATGGATAGGTGTGTTAAGTGCCAGTATAGCGAGCTGCATGATAGCTTGTATAATGAACCAGACAAGTCATCTTTCTCTTTTGTCATAATGACCTGAGTGCTGCTGAGCCTAATATATGCGGTTGAATTACAGTGTATGTTTTAGAAAGACATTGCTATGAAAGTCTCCAGGTGATGACCAATGCAAATCCCTTGCTAATCTATTTGAATAATTACTCTTGCCTTGAAAATTTCAATTACAGTCTTTAACTGTTGTTCCCCGGGGTTCTGTTGTTCCCCAAGGGTTTGTGGGTTGTTTTTTTTTAGGTGTTTTTTTTTTTTTTTTACTTATTAACAAACTTACAATCAGTCTTTTACTCCAACTGGCAACACTTGTCTTTCCACTAAGATCTGTTTTCTGTTTTACAAGTTAGCTCCCGTTGTAAATGGGTATTGTTGTTTTGTTTGTGCACCTATATAAGCCTTTAAATTGGGAGAGAACGCAAGTCGATGTAACAAACCAAATTCCAAAGGTGTGTTGTATCAAGTAGCACTTGAAATTCATTGAATTTATGCTTATTTTCAATTTTCAGAGTAATTGTCCTAATTTTTCAAGAGTGCACATTTCTACCTGCATTACTTTTAAATAATGCTAAAAATTCTGTGTCCAAGTGGCTGACACCAACCTTGTCACTGAAAAGACAGAAACAAAGTAATCACAAAGCTGTTATGAGACACCAGTACCTAGAATTTTTAGTGTCATTTAAAAAACCAGAAGGTATTTGATTAACAGTGATGAAGGGATCCCTTTGATTGCTGAGGAACAGAGGTAGTTTCAAGGCTTAGTTTTTCTGTGCTAATAATTTGGTGGTGGTTTTTTTAAATTTGTTCTGTTTCATTAATGTATTTATTTGGGACAACTTCTCTGAAAAAAAAGGAATGCAAGCTACTTTCAGTGTGCAGTTATCTAGTGTCAGGTCCGTTCAAGTGCCTAGTCTGAAGTCCCATGGTGCTTGGTTGGGTTTCCTTTACACAACGACCTGCAAGTTTTCTGAAATGGCTTTTCAGATCTCGAAGAGAATGACATGGCAAAGGTGAAGCAGGTACATGTATGCCAGATGAGGTGTTTCTTACCTGATTGAAGCCAGTGAATTGGTTTTCACTTGCCCAGTGTATTAGGGCTGTTACTTTAAAATTCATAGGTCATGGTCCTGGAATGAGGTATGCGTGTGTCTACTTGTGCAGCTAAGGGAATAGTTCCATATTCAGGGTCCAAGTATGGAACAGATAATGGAAAGCAAGGAAAACAAGGTAGTCTCTTCTGAAGGAGAAAATACAGTGAGATTTATGGTCGTGATCAGGCCTAAAGGTTAGAAAAGGGAATATTAAATATCGGTAATGGTTATTGGAATAAGAACTATTACCACTGAAAGGTGACTGCCTAGTGAATTGAGATTATCTTGCAGTGGTTTTGTTCAGCTACTCAATCATCTGATGCTAAGACTAATGTTTGTGCTATGATGCCTACACTTTATATAGCACAGGTGTAATACAGGGTGCCACCATAAAAGCTGTAATTACTTTCATGAGTTACATTGCTTTTCTGTAAGTGTGAAAGTACATTTTGTGGGAGATTCTTGATCATAAAAAGCTTTTTCATGTGACAGGCAAAAATGTAGCAAGATTCAATAGTTGGAAACAAAGATGACAGAAATTGAAATTAGAAATGAAGTCAAAATTGCGAAAGGTAACTGACAAATTCAGGAGAAACTTGCCAAGGAATACTGTCTATTTTCACTTCTTTAAAATCTCTACTTTGGGATTACTTGTGTTTTGAAAAAGATTGAAAGCTATTTCAGCAACATTACGGTGCAGGAATTGCTCGTTGAAAATAATAGTTTGTTGTGCAAAAATAATCTTCCTTTTTTATTTTCTTTTAGAATCTTTGCAACTTACTGCAATGAATCTTTGTTCCCATGTGAATAGGATTTTATTAAGCTAAGTGTGTATGTGGAAAGCTCAAGCTTTGATTTCAACTCTTGTTTTTATAATGTATTTGTTCTAAGCATTCTGAGCCTGGCCCTCAAAGGATTTAAAATACATGAATGTAAAACAAACCAGAGGAGAGGGGGGTGTTCCTTATTGATGCTGACTATTTGGTGGTGATGATGAAGCTTTTATCTGCTGTGATGAGGACTGGAATTTCATTTCAGAAAAAGAAGAGAATATGTCATCTAATTGATTGAGGGGGACACTTTTTTAAAAGTATCAATTGGAATAAAAAAATATCTTGGAGATCACAGGTTCTTGGTTAATTTTTTTCCAGTATTCTTGCTAGAAGGATAGCACTAAATACTAGACTTAATTAACTTCAAAATCTTTAGTTCAGCAACAGAAGTGTTGCATTACAGACTCACTGCACCCTAATCTTTTAACAAACAGCAAAAATAACTCCAATCAAAGTAAATGTTATCTTGATTCCAATTTTTAATTTGGGGAAAGCTGAGGATCTCATGATTATATTTGGATTTTGTTTTGGTTGTGCTTGAGGTAGAATATTTTTTCTAATGTTATATAGACTTTTATAGTGGCATAGTTGATCTATATGGAAGGAGGAACTGAAAAGGTACTTTAATATAGGCTGTGTTTATAGTGCTATAACAGTTGTGTCTATGTTAACAGGATAGCTGCACTGTCCTTTTGTTTCCATTTTGTTTTTAAATTTAAAGTAGCTCTATCAGCACAAAAGAGTACTTGTGAATCCTTGTTTTATTTGGTGGGCTGTTGTCCAGCTATAGGATAACACTGGGATAGCATGAGATCGAATTATTTTAATACCAAACTTCTTAAGATATTTTTATTCCTTAAATTGCAATAAAATCTGCTTTAATTCCGTTGTAACCTGTGATCACTGAGTTAGATAATAATTACATTTAATTATCTAATAAGAGATTAAAAATAGAATTAACTTGCAAAGGAGGTAACGTTTCTAGACACTGGCATTATCAACTAAATCATAGGGCCTTTTTTTTTAATAGATGTTGATTGTGTTATTTTTGACTCTTCAAGTGTGATGGAAGAGATGGTTGAAGAAATCATGTTTGTTCTTAAATACCCATTTATAATTTTTTTAAAACATGGAAAGATGTGTCCTATAGCAAATGGGTTAGAAGTAAATTCAGTAAGATTTTTATCACGTAATTCCAAAAAGAGAAAGTGAAGGATGTTTATTTAGGTAAGTATATTGAGTTGGAAAGCAAACAGTATTATATATCACTCTAGATAACAATTCTTCATTTATGTTAGAAAAGCCTTTTACAAGGTCTGAATTTACTCACTGTCTTACAGGATGTTTACAAACCCCAGAGAAAATATAAACGTCAGAAGGGAGCTGAAGAACTGCTAGATGAGGAATCAAAGGTTCATGCTACGCTTCTGGAATATGGCAGGTGAAAGGCTTCATTTAATTGTCTGTGGGTTTTGTATTGTGTGTATTTAAAAGCATTCCATACAAAATTTGGATTGTGGGGGGCTTTTTCTACTACTTGAGAATCAAACTGTTTCGGATTTACTCCTTGTTTGGTTTCAGATTTTGTTTGCTTACCCTGTAAATTCTCTGGGGACTGGACAGTCCTTGTATGTGTGAACATACAAGTTCCTCTAGTGGAGGGTGTCCCTGCCCGCAGCAGGGGGTTGAAACTAGATGATCTTTAAGGTCCCTTCCAATCCAAACCATTCTATGATAGGATTCTATGATAACAATGTTTTGTACAGTGGGAGCCCAAGTTCTGACTTAATGCTGCTAGTAGCGTATGTTTATTTAACATACTTGTTCTTTGCTTCATGAAAATGGCTTGAGTTCATGGTGGTTGCAGGTAGTGTCTGTCAATCAATATTGCCTCTTTGCAATCCCCAGAAAGTAGGAAAAAAGGAGCTGGAGTTGTTACTGCTTCTTTTGTAGTTCTAATGTGGTTGCTACATCAGGAGGCTGAATCACGGTTTAGTGCTGTCGTCTTACTTTTCTGCAAACTTCCATGTAGAGATGAAATTACCAAGGTTTACAATTACCCATTACCTTTGGAAGTCCCTCTGGTTTACTGAGAGCTCTCCAAACACATAAAAATGATGTTACAGACTTTCTGTTTCTAGCTTCTCTTTCCAGTTTTCATAGTTTAGTGATATGGACAGCTTGTCTGCTGTCTGAGCTCTTAATACGTAATGAATGCAAATGACATTTGAATTCGTTTTTGTATCTTCTGTGGCTTCCTCTCTCCCAAAACCATAAATGTTTTTAATTCTTTTTTGGGAGGTCTTATTATTTTGAGTACCTTCCTTTTACCCTTTTTATGCATTTGTCTTGACATGCGGTTGAAATCAGCAAGTGTCCTGACTTCAGATTGCTTGTAATCTTCCCCTTCATTCATGGTGGTATTTTTTGAGGGCAGCATGGACAAATTAACATCTTTCAACTTGTTTTCCATCAAAGTGGGATGAAATTCTCTGTGTGTTACTAATGGAATGAAACTATTCGGAGACATCTGGGTGTCCTGTTACTCAGCAGAACTCTTCTGATGTTGCATAAACTTTATATGCACATGGTTAACTGTAGAACGTTTCCGTTCCTTCCACCACGAGTGGAGTTCAGCGCAGTTATCTGAAGTACACTAAGCTGATTTAAAAGCCTAAGATGACGGGCTGCTCTGATGAGCTTAATCTGTTCAAAACAAAGAGCTACAAGGAAATGCCGTGCCTCTTCTATATGTGTTAAACCGCTGATTTTATTAACACAGTTTGCATTTACACATTCTGTGGGCCACAGTCTTCAATGAGTCTTAGTATTTTTCTAATGCTAGTAAGGAGTTAGGCTGGATTTACCTCATCCTTTTTAGTGTCCAATTCCTCCCTCCCCAGTGAAAACTGCGTTTGCAAGTTAGCAGTGACAGGGATTATTCTACTGGACATGTGGAGTTCTTCCATGACTCTTTAGGGGAAGACGTGCATGCCAAAATCTTGAGATTTAGATCAGGTCATTGAGACGTCATCAGTGCTCACAATGGGAATCCAAAGAGCTGGTATGGAAAAACAAAATGCTGGTGTGCTCCTTTTTGGTGTGCACCAAAATGCTGGTGTCTATTTATAGTTTGTCTGTTTATACTGTTTCAGAGTTGTTACTGTATATTGGTGTCAATAGATACCTCCTAATAAATAAAAAGAGTATAAAATAGTTTATGCAGTTTAAGGGCAATTTTGTGTAGGATTTTTCTAGAGTAACTTTAGGGTTTTTTGGTTTTTTTCAAAAAGCAAAACTGGAAATCAGTATATTGCTTGAAAATTGTAATAAATAAAAGATCTTTTCTACAGATCCTTACAAATTGTTTTAGCTTTAGGTAAAGTGGAACAGTTGAGACTTAAGTAAAGCTCATTTCTTCTGGAAAACAGATAAATCTTTAATACAAAACATAATGAAAATGGATGATGGAGTAAGTTTAAGCACAGAGAGAGGAAATAACAGAAAAGTAGGAGATGTTGAAGATATAACAGAATGGCTCTTCTGTTGTATAGCATGCATAAGTACATAGATATGAGGAATGGTTTGGGATTAATAAGAAGGATGACTGAGAACTTGTGAGCTTTTGGGAGGAAAAATACCTCTTCAAGACAGTGCTTGATATTGCAGAGCCCTAGCTCTGCAAAGGGACCAAAGGGAAAAGAGGTGTTTGGTGTTTGAAGGGCATTTATTGAAATTGCTGATCTGAAGGAAGGACAGTACTTACTAAAAGACAAATACAGTTAGCTATTTGATATGAAGTGCTTGACATGAATTGAAGTGGGAGAAAATTAGGATAGCTGTAGGACTTGAATGTGTTCTAGTAATGATTTCTTAATGAATTCTCAAAGCTCAACTCAGCTCTTGATCAGAACGCTATTTTTGATATAGTGCTAAAATAAAGAACATTGGAGAAAATTACAGTAGTGAGCCACGCAAATATCTGCTTCATGTGCTTTGGTAGAGAAAGAACCTCTTAAGGCAGGTGATAGTATGTCTGCTGTGAACCTAGTAATAAACTAGGAAGAGTACAAGGACCTGGAGATACACAGAGAAATCTGTGGGGGCAGTAGGAACTACTGTCCGCTCTTCGACACTGTTAGGGGAATTAGAACACTGCTGAAAAAGACAAATAGTAAATTTTGCTAGATTTAGGAACAGAGTTGAATGTTTTTAGAATTCAAATAGTTAAAGTGTATCTTTCATTCTTTTACTGCATGTAGATGGCAGTTGTAGAAAATCGTGAGTAGAGGAATGTTTTCCTCCTAAATGTCCCTTGGTTATCAAAGAAATGGCTCCTTTCAGAGCATATTAATCATGAAAGGTAATTTCCCCAGTCCAACAAATAGTGTAGGGTCTTGCCATGTCCTGATGCCCAATGCAGCATTATTCAGATCCAGCCAGTGATAGTGCCATATTCTAAGTTGTTTTTTTGATCCTGTGGCCTCCAGCTTAGAGGTTCTCACAAATGAGCTTGAATACGGTAGGTTGGAATCTGGCTTGAGAGTAGAGTGATGCTGGTGAGCATCTTTCCACGCAGTTGAATAGTCTGTTCCAGCTAAGGGCTTTCAGTGCCACATCTTTAATATTATCAATCAGTTTTCAGCAAAGTACAAAATCAGTTTCTATTACAGATGTGAAATGTTAAGCCTGGGAGGCATTTGGGTTCTCTGTTGATATAACCGATGATTAATTTTTTGTCATTGCTGTTCTGGTGCAGTTCATTACTTGGATGCAATTATCTCTGTGAAAATAAAATTGTGCTCCTACAAAAACCAAGAACAGATATACAATAATGGCAATACTAATTACAAATGCTTTTATACTAATACAACTTTGTGCGTATTCTGTGGGAAGGTAGTACTCTGCCGTGTTCTTTGTACTGCTTTAAAATGCAGAGAGAACTTAATGTGGGGGAATTCTTGAAAATTTGGTGTTACGCTATAATAAAATATGACTGAATTTACCTCCTAAGTATGAATGTTGAATAAGTGGAAAACTGGTGAAAACTGATACTGCTGCTGAAGATAACTTAATTTTTAGCCATAAAAGTCTTGTAAATAGTCCTGCTTCTGCAGTAGTTAAGCAATAAACAGTTGTAGGTATAAGTTAGTCCATGAGGAACATCGCTCCTTTTCATATCTGTGTACGTACTGGTTTTAGTGCTTTGTAATACTGAAGATGATTGTTTACTCATATCTAAAATTTCTTTCTACCTGTTTTTTTCTTTAAGATACTATTTCCAAACTAACAACGTAACTCAAATGTAAATTTTTCCTCTCCCTGAAAAAAAACAGAAGTAAAAAAGGTTATTTGAGTATATGGTTAAGCTCTGAATGCCGTGCTTCAGAAAAAAATTGAAGATTCATCAAAGCATACAAGCATGAGCCTATTTTTTGGGAGAAGAGATTGTACTGACAACTTCCTGAAGCCTTTACAGAATTCAGAAGTACATAGCTAGCAGCTGAGGATTAACTTCCAAATGGGAAGAGAGTATTGCTTTTTCCTTTCAGGAGCTTTACATGACAATATTTTATGAACAGTCTAGATTTGCAAATTGTAATGGAAGGAGTAGATGGAGCTGAAATTATTCTGTAAGTATGCTGCAGTACCTGCTTATTAAGTTTACTTGAAGCATTCCAAAACTAACCTGAACCTGGTTTTGTTAAATGATTCACTTTCTAGTGCATTTCTTATGTTGAAAACTGATAGAAACTTTATTTGTGGAAGTTGTTAACAACAATGTATTTCTTTGATGTTACTGTTATTCTTTTAGGAGATATGGATTTAGCAGACAAGCAGGAAAAACAGAACAGGTAAAAATATAACTAATTTTAAAAATTCATATTGTGGGAAGAATTGCATTGGTTTTGTTGGAGTGTTGGTTACTGTAAGATCTTAAAGGAATACAATAGTATAAACAGCTATAACTTCTATTATTACCACCTTTTAAAAATAGCTAACTGGAACAAAAAATCTACATGCCATGGAAGATGCAACTGATTACTGTCTCCTTTTTTAAAGCATTTCCTTCACCTGTACACAAAGATCACATTTTGCAAACATTTTTCGCTTAGAAGAAAGGGGGTTGGTTTGTGGGATTTTTTCTTCTTTTTTTTTTTTTTTTAATGTGAAGTAATGAATACATCTGTCTGTTTAATGAGTATCTCTTAACTAAGTATTCCATGATGTGATCATTGAAGAGGTTTTTTCCTTTTCTTTTTAAAGAACCTTTCAGCTTGGTAAGAAATTTTGTAGGCATTTATTACATAAGAGGTTAGTTAATGTGATAGACAAACATGATGCCATGCCATAAATAAATCATAGTGCCTCCTGAAAAGTAGAATCCTTGCTATGCTTTTGAAGATTATGGAATCATAAAATGTCCTTGTCAGAATATTCCTGGTTTTCTTATTTCAGTGCAGATGTTACTTTGGCTACAACCTGTTATTACAGATGGAGATCATGAAGAAATGCATTAGGCATGTCATGGACCCAGTAATACACTGAGTACATTAAGGTTGCCCTTCTTCATTATCTCAATATTTCGCATACAAATTTAGCATTTAAATTTTATAAATTGAGATGTTTCCAAATCTAGGCATACCTCTTTTTCTCCTCAAAGTAACTGCCAGGCTACAGTCACATTTATATAGTTCATTTTGTTTTGTCAAAAATTTTACTGACTTTGGAATATTGTACATTAGAAGGTCATCATGTCTGTTGTGTCAATGGAGTCACCAGTAAAGCAGAAGTGGAAGATTAATTATATAGTGATGCAATAGAGTGACATAGAAATTTAGTCTGTCACTAGTTCTCAATATTTTAGTGGTATGAATTCTGGAGTACTTCTGAAGTCAGTGTGGGTTACCCCTCAGTTGGCATGAATTGCAGTGTGAGGATGTTCCAGTAGCTAATGTGTTCATAAAACCAGAACAGCTATATTCCTGTTTTCTCCTCGTTGTCTTAATACTTTAGATTATTGGAACTAGATAAAATATTTTCTTAATTTTTATTTAAAAGGCTGAAGATAAAAAAATTGCGCTACCTCCAGGGCTTGCAGCAGCAGGAAAATCTGAGCCTTGTGATGAAGATGACCTTCAGGCCGCTGAAGAGGTGTGCCACATACATAGTAGGCATAGATGTTACTAACTTGGGGGAAGGGCAGCAGTTCACACTGCCCAGCCATTCCCTGCGAGAAGGAAAATTTCCATGCTTAGCTGCAGTGGGACTTGCTTCCCACAGGAGAATATGGAACCTGAAATTGATGCACAAAATTAAGCATTTGTTGATATTTAATACCAAAAAAATAAACTTTTGTTTTGGAATGCAAGCATTTTTAAGAGGTTGGCTTTCAGTTGATAGTGGGAGCTGAATACTCTGAATGAACCTGTACTGTTATAAGGAATTTTCCTTTATTTGATAACTTTAGCCACCTCTTCTTTAACTTTCATAGACTTACTGTCCCATTACGTGCATTAAACTACACGTTATATGATACTAATTGTATATATGTGTCCCTAGGCAGAAATAAATAATAAAGGATAAATTGTTATGTGTAATTCCTCATATTTTGCCCTAGCTTCGCATTAAAACTCTGATGACTGGGATGGCTGCAATGGCAACAGAAGAGGTAAGCAGCATTTAAATACGTACAATACAGCTTTGTTTAAATGATGGTTGGTTATGGCAGTTATTCCTAAAATCAGATTAATGGTGAATCTAAAGTCTTGGAATGACTGCATTTAGCTTCTCATTAAGGGAGTGCAAGCAAAGGTGGTTGAATTAGGAAGACAGTAATTTTTATGAGGCTGACTTAATTGTTTGCCTTGAAATGATAAAAGCAATATAAATAAGTGCCTCTTTCAAATGGTTCCTACAAGGAGAATTTCAGGGGAAAGACATCACAGTGCAGCTACCCAAGATGCATTGTGATCTTACTTTATTCATCTTGTGAAGATATCCAGAGGCATAATCATTTTACTGGGGAGACTGGAGGAAAACTGTAGGCATTTCAAGGTGTTTTTCAAAGCACTGATAAATATTTATAAACACCAGCATTAGTGTAAGACACTGCAAATACTGGATATTGGTTGTAGTCAATGATATAATGGAAGAGAAGGTAGTAATTAGTCTTGTCTCAAAGCTGATTGACATGATTTCTACTGAAATCCACTTTAGAATTCAGTTCTACTTGAAAATTGTTTTTCTGTATGCATCCAGTTTGAAAGGTGCGTTCTTTCACGCACCTGGATTGTTATAGTTTGGTTTAAAATGTGGTCTAAAAGTGAGTTTTATTACTGTGCGTGCAAAATTCTGTATACGGAATACAATTTGAAGTAAGTTTTTAAAAATCTGTATTCAAATTACCACTATAGTTTGCTAAAAGGTTGTAAATGAGAAATTTCCATCAGTGAAGGTTTTTTTGGGGGTGGAATGTTTCTTGGTATTTTTGTATGATTAGAGATTTTTACCCAGTGTAAAGGTTTTGTACATTTCAGTTAAAATTAGAGCTTGGGGAAATTCCATGTAAAAGCATAGGCAGTTCCAAAACTCCAAACATTTTCTTGACACACTTGCAGGGCAAGTTGACAGCAAGCACAGTTGGCCAGATTGTTGGACTCCAGTCGGATGAAATCAAGCAAATAGTGTCAGAATATGCTGAAAAGGTAAGTGTTACCTGATTATGTTTTGCCAAGTAATATTTGCCAAAAATATATTTAATAGCTTGTTAATTTAGACCTTAAGCTTCCAACTTAATTGCCATGATTCTTTGAAACTACACTGTTTCATACATGCTGTGGATAACAGCACAATCAGAACTCAGGGAAGTATTTTAATGAGACACAAACACACACAAGCTTTTGGTGCTACAGCGCACATTCCTGAATGGCTTTCATGAGTAGTTTGGGTTTAAGCACCTGCTTTAATGTTTTCATGAATAAAGAAGGTCCTGAGTTAATATCTATTGCAACCAGTGGCCTAATCTCTAAATGTGTTTTAAAATGTTCAGCATCAAGTGCAGAAATACAGTTCTGCGGGCCTGTCCAGATCAAAATCTAGGCCTCCTCCACTCGGCTTTTCAGACAGTGGGCTGTTACTTGCACTGGGCTCCAATTGTCCATCGTACCCTGGATTTCTCGTTCTGAATCTAGTATCATCAAAACCAAACCTTTGTTGCTTTTAGAAGTCAAGGCAGTTAACAGTGTGTATTAGCTCCATTTATTGTGTTCATCTGTGATTGTTTTTACACTAATGTGAAAAGAAAATCTGGCTCTTCAAGCAATTAACACATACAATACATCACTGCCAGTTATGAGTTATAGGTCGCTCTTATTTGTCCAATAGTCTTCTCATATTTCTTCCTTTTTGTTGACACATATGAGGTATGGAGCTTTCCCATTTGGGAGATAAACCCTATAACTCAACAGAGTCTATCGCAAATTCTTGGCCTTTCTTTATTACAAAGGATTGGAAGAACAGAAGCCCAAGGGTCATATTTCAATGTTACATTTCTTCTGTTCTGAGAGAAAACAGCAGGACCTTGACTATTATAGTAGAACGATGATTAATACTCTGGAAAGTAAGAACTGATTCAAGTCAAACAAAAAATATATTGCTTTTCAAATCTATTGGATGTGACCAAAAATAAAAAAAAATAAATCTGTGTGTGCACGCATGCACCAGGAACAGAGAATTAAGGATGTTATCAAACAGTTTATTGAAGCATCAGCAATGTTTGGATATAGTTCTAATAGCTTTAAACTCTTGCAACTATACATAGTATTCATTACCTGCTTTCTAAGGCTGATTAGAATAGAATAGACAAAGTAAAATCTCTATGAAAAAGTAGCATCCACTTCTAAGAAAATGCATTATAACCTACTAAATGGCAGCTGTTCCTGCAGCATATGTAGGGCAAGCCTCACTTTTAAAATGTAGAATAGAAGAGACTATTTCAGTTGGAAGGGACCTACAATGATCATCCAATTCAACTGCGAATTATTCAAAGTAGCTTTGATTTTACTGTGTTAGAAGGATTCTTCCTCTGAAAATTTACAAGTATAGTTATATGTAACAAATGGTTTTGCTAGTAGAATGTGAGGAAAAGCTTGTTCCCTGGTAAAATGAAAGAATGACTAAAACTGGAGAAGTGCTCTCTCGAAACTACCCCTTCAAAAATGACTGAAGGAGAGTAGTCTTCAACGGTTTAAATGCTGTTTGCAAGTTGCTTACATCTTGATAAGTTGACTCAGAATATTTTTTGACTTCTAGAATCCCATATCAGAGATTGCTATGTACCCTACACAGTCAGTTGCAGTAGCATAAAATAAGCATTCAGCTGTTTAGTATGGTTAGGGGTTGTGTTCAAGGAAAATATTAAATTAGGTATTTTTATAACTTTTGGTTTGAAGAAACCCTGAAAGATAAGGTGAGATGCAGTGATCTTTATCTTTGGGTTCCTGAGCCTCGGGGAAAATGTCAAGGAAAAATGACAGCAAATTACATTGAAATGACAGCTAAAGATCTACATGGAACTTGACTGAAAACAGATCTGAACTGTTACAGGGCTGGAGATTGTTTTTGTTTTCTCCGTGGACTTCAGCCAGTGGACTTCAGATTGAGGCAACTATGATGGAGTTAGTGACAGAACTAAACCTCTGAAGTCTATTTGCTAGTAAGAGGTGGTTGAACACGAAGAGATAAAATTATTTACTGCTACAAAGTTTGTATTTCTGTATAAAGACTAATTTTTTTTTTTTTTAAGAATGTGAAGTTCTGTAGACTAATGATTGAATTCTCTTTCTTTAATTATTGGAAAGTTTGTAGCACTAATGTGTGTGAGAGAACCTCATTACAAAGAATAACATTAATTCCATATATTTCCTTCCCTTTTTAAAGCTTTGACATTTGAACAGTGGGAGGCAGGGTCTTAAAGTCAAGAATTAGCCATTTATTTTGGCTAGCAGTTTTTGAGCTGCCATAGGTTAGTGATCCTCATGCATAATTAATATGGAGTTTTAACTTAACAAATTCTGTCATAGAAAACAAAGCTACTAACTTGTTTATTTGAATTGGCTAAACCTTTTTAGGGCAGTTGAGCGTTTGCAGGGAATGGGGAAGAACGCAGAAGTGAGTGCACAGCTCAGTCAGTGGTGGGTATAATGTGTGCTAACAGAAAAGTTGAAGGATGTATCCAGGTATCCTTTTTTGTCAGGTGTAATTGAAGTTGTTTTGAGATAGAGTAGCAAATTGATAACCTCGAACAGAGGCTAGTGCTCAGATACAGCTTTGTTAAATTATGTTCGAAAGGCAAGTACTGTTTCAGTCTAGTAAGAGACCAGGTAACAACAACAGTGTCAAAAGCAAAGTAGCTTCAATTTGTGCTTGCTTCCTTCTATACTGAAAGGTGCGTTTTTCTCCAAAAATTGGAACCCAGTTCCTCAGTAACTTCAAAGCTGTAGTGTTGCTGCAGAGCAGACCCTTAGCCTGCTTTGACTGCCCAAGGCTTAACCCTAGCTTTTTCATTTGCAGACCAGATAGATTTTTCTGCAGAAACCTGTGTATTATAGTGATGGTTATTCCCATTTTCAAAAAGCAAGCTATAACGGTCCACTTCTTGAGACTTGACCTTTTCTTTATGTCAAAGCTGTACCATATGGATTTCTACTATTTTTGCCAGATCAGTCTTAGACTGGTTTAGCTCATGTTTCTGGCATTTCCAGTTCTCTTGATTTGCATGTTATGCATATTAGATAGGCTAATCATATGGTGAGAAGGATGGGGTCTTGAAATGCATGACATGATAAGGGAATGTGGTTTGGCTAAGTAATGAGAGGAGTAAGTAAATCTGAGTGTGTATTTGTTGAATAGTTCAGTGTTACAAACGTTGCTTAGAGGCATTTTTCCTTCCCTAACAAATGGAAAGTAAGTTTGTGAATTGCGATAAGACGTCAGAATCAGTCTTTTCTTGGTGTAGATGTAAAAGTATAACAAGTCATTCACTTGCTCTTTAATATGAATAACATAGAAAATGGAGAAGAGGAAGACAGGTTTTGCCTCATTTTCATTTAAAATTAAGCTGTTAGGAAGACCTGCTTGCCCATCTGCCTAGAGTGGATACCTGGAGCCACTATGAGTGAAGAGCATTTCATACTTGTAACATTTTTGCTGATTATACATTGTAGTCATTGTCAACATTTGGTAATTATCCAAAAAGCACTAAGTATTGAAGTCTTTGACAGATTCTGCAAATTAGCACCTGAAGCAGTTGAAAATTAACTGGTTTTCAAATGAAGTATTGGAAAATGAATTAACTAGAAAAAAACATCTTGAGTGCATGAAGCAAATTACCAAAACAGATGGATGTAAGTATTACAGTGAGGGCTTTCAAAAGGTACAAGTAGTGTTTAGGCAAATAATCACTTAGACATCTAGCTGTCACTGATTTTTTTAATCATTCTTTTGTCTACTGCAAATATACAATTTCTATTATAAATACTATTCCTGGTAAAGAATGTTTCTAGCAGCTTTCATAGAATCCTAGAATGGTTTGGGTTGGAAGGGACCTCAAAGATCATCTAGTTCCAACCCCCTGCCATGGGCAGGGACAACCTCCCCAACCCTCCACTAGACCAGGTTGCCCAAAGCCCCATCCAACCTGGTCTTAAACACTTCCAGGGATGGGGCATTCACCACTTCTCTGGGCAACCTGTTCTAGAGCCTCACCACCCTCATAGTGAAGAATTTCTTCCTAATATCTAATCTAAATCTGCCCTCTTTTAGTTTAAAGCCATTACCCCTTGTCCTATTGTTTGTAAGCAGTCCTTCTCCAGAGTTCTTGTAGGCCCCCTTCAGGTACTGGAAGACTGCTATAAGGTCTCCCCAGAGCCTTCTCTTCTCCAGGCTGAACAACCCCAACTCTCTCAGCCTTTCTCCATAGCAGAGGTGCTCGAGCCCTCTGATCATCTTCATGGCCTCCTCGGGACTCGCTCCAGTTGCTCCATGTCCTTCTTTGTAAGCAGTCCTTCTCCAGAGTTCTTGTAGGCCCCCTTCAGGTACTGGAAGACTGCTATAAGGTCTCCCCAGAGCCTTCTCTTCTCCAGGCTGAACAACCCCAACTCTCTCAGCCTTTCTCCATAGCAGAGGTGCTCGAGCCCTCTGATCATCTTCATGGCCTCCTCGGGACTCGCTCCAGTTGCTCCATGTCCTTCTTATGTTCGGGACCCCAGAGCTGGACACAGTATTCCAGGTCTCACAAGAGTGGAGTAGAGGGGGAGAATCACCTCCCTCGACCTCCTGGTCACACTCTTTTTGATGCAGCCCAGGGCATGGTTGGCTTTCTGGGCTGCAGGCACACATTGCCGGCTCATGTTGAGCTTTTAATGAATCAACACACCCAAGTCCTTCTCCTCAGGGCTGCTCTCAATCCATTCTCCATGTACCCTGTATTTGTACTTGGGATTGCGCTAGCCCACGTGCAGGACCTTGCACTTGGCCTTGTTGAACTTCATGCAGTTCACACAGGCCCACCTCTCCAGCCTGTCGGGGTCCCTCTGGATGGCATCCCTTCCCTCCAGCCTGTCGATTGCACCACACAGCTTGATGTTGTCAGCAAACTTGCTGAGGGTGCACTCAATCCCACTGTCCATGTCGCCGACAAAGATGTTAAACAGCGCCAGTCCCGGTACCGACCCCTGAGGAACGCCACTCGTCACTGTTCTCCACTTGGACATTGAGCCATTGACCGCAACTCTTTGAGTGCGACCATCCAGCCAATTCCTTATCCACCGCGTGGTCCATCCCGTGAATCCATGTCTCTCCAATCTAGAGACAAGGATGTCGTGCGGGACAGTGTCAAATGCCTTGCACAAGTCCAGGTAGATTTCTTTCACAGTTCACAGAGAACAAGAGACTGGATCCAGCTTGCTGTCTTCAGTACGTATTTATGAGACACTTTCTTGGCAATGCATGCCGGATTGAGTAGTTTTCAAAGACTGGTGCCCTTACCACACGCACACACAAAAAAAAGCTTAGAGTGGTAAATGGATCTACAACACTGAGTATGTCATTGCCATTCAGCATAAAGATGCATCAAAGCCACTATTTTAGAATCTAAATACACAATTCTTCAAGGCCTTTGAAAGTTCTGGATCTACTTATCGAGGTATGGAGCATCTCTGATTCAGCAAGTTCAGTAAATACCACTGCTTAAGGTGTTTTATAGCATGTTTGTATTTTTTACGTTTAAGAACTCTACCAGGTTTAACTATAATGCTGATGCAAACAATTATTTCTTTCTTCTATTATACTGTAGTATTTTCCACCCATTCCAGGGCACCTGACTTTATTTTTAGCTTACTTTACCTGTTACCTTTGGGATAGAATTCAGTTGTTTAGCTGCTTCCTCATCTTGATGTGAGATAAATTGGTAAGTCATTCTTTCTGTTGGACAGTGGGACACAATTCTTGATAAGGAATATTGCAGGTGTGTCCCACTTCAGCATTTCCTGAGCTACTGAAGAAGCAAAAAGTAATGGCAGGAGGTCCAATGGGCTGTTGTTATTTTTTATTTTAGCAATCTGAGCTTTCCGCTGAGGAGCGACCAGAAAGGCTTGGAGCTGCACAGCAACACAGAAGGAAGGTGACATCTCTGAATAAGCAAATTTTGCAGAAAACCAAACTCCTGGAAGAGGTAAGTATTGTGTGTGTAATAAAGAAGAAAGCATTGGCAAATGTGGTTGATCACAAAGTTTTTGCCATCCAGAAAAGATTTGCAGGCTGTCTTCCGTAGCAGCAATTTGTTATGCCAAATGTTCATTTCAGCATCTTTGAATGTCTTGCTTGCACATTTATTACTAAGACAATGTGGCTGCTTTTATATTAACAAATTGTGTAGCCCTGTCTGTGAGGAGGGGGGCTAGCTAATCAAAATATGCTTTCCTTTTTTTTTTTTTTTTTGTACCTCTCTCGGAGGAAAACAGAGTATCTATCTCCATTTGACTTGTTAGCTGTAGTGCTGAATGGGCTCTTTTCACTGTTTCTTGAAACAATTTAGGAAGTTACTCTAAAATATGCTATAAATGACTTTTTATCCCTTCCTGTCCTTGAGCCAGCTTGTCTCACTGGGTTTTTTGCTTGTTCGTTTGTTGGGGGTGTTTTTGCACAGCACTCCTTGGTTCACATCTTCGCATTTGTTTTAGGGGGAAAAGGCTCTTGAATTTGTGACTGATGTTCTGTTCCTACATATAAGTAAGAGTAAGAACCACCACACTTGTATTTCAGCCTACTTATGCTATTGCCATTTAAACTCAGAAGAGTGTAAGTGAAAAAGCTATGCCATTAATGAAATGCTGCTTTTAATTATGCATGAACTCAGAAGAGTGTAAGTGGAAAAGCTATACCATTAATGAAATGCTGCTTTTAATTATGCATACTGCTATAATCAGCACCATGCCATCTTTAGCTTGCAGAATCTGATGAAAACATACTGCATCAGAATCAGTAATTGGAAGAGCTTGCCAAAAAACAAGTAGTACTTGAGGAAAAACTGTGCTGCTGACTTCTGTGGTTGATACTCTGTCAAGCACAGCACTGCTCCAGCAGCCTTCACCTGTTTTTTGTTTTGCTCTGCTCTTGTCGGTAACGTCTTAACAACTTACATCTTAACTGGGTTTGCCCATTAAATTTTGGAGGTACAGGGGCTTCAAAAGATAAGTGTCTGTATGGCACATTTTATGAGACAGCGATATGTCCAGTCTTGCAAACAACAGAGGTAAAAGAATCATAGCTTTTAAAGTCTCACTTACTATAACTATGGGAGCACTAGATTTTAAACCTTCCTTTTCAGCCACTTACTGGACCTGACTTTTTTTTTGATGAGAATAAAGTAGTCTCTAACAGTGCAATAAAGTCTTAAGTTTTGAGAGGATAAATATCCTTTAAATAAATCTCCTTTCAGCAAAGCATATGCTGTGAACCAGTCTTTGAAGTCTCTAACAGTCAAGTAATACTGTTTAAATAAAGCTATAGAAATAAAACTTATGCACAAAAAAAATGGAACAACTAATTGTCTATCCTGTTCTTCATTTCTCCCTTCTTTTTTTTTTTTTCCAAGTTTAATAAAGAGCTTTATGAAGAACAGGCGCAGGTTCTTCTTAATTTATTTCACAAAAAAAGGACTTTCAGAGGATAGAGTATGACACTGTTTTAACTCATAAATATTAGAATGCGTTTCCTTTGGAACATGTCAAACTAGTTTCATTGTTCTTAAACTGATGCATTTCTGTTTCTGTGTTGCCCTCTGGCATGGCCCATCTGTTAAAATACAATTTTTTCATAGTCAATAGCACTACAATTATTATTTGCACTGTATATTGAATGTAAGCCATGTCTGTCACAATTCCTCTCCATTCTAGAGTGAAATATTAGAAAGTATTATGATATATTATAACTATATTATGATATACTGAAATTAATTACACTTTTTTTAACTCTAGTTGGTATTCTTTCAACACTTTGGTAATATGAATTTTCCATGACTGTTTGTCAAACATAACTTTGATGCCCTGTTAGCAAAAAAAAAAAATATTGACAATACCTAGCATTTAAATGCAGGCTGAAGTGTCAGGCTTTCAAAAATCATAATATGAGCTTACAGACAGTTAAATCCTGTCGGAGCTCCTATGTTAGTTTGAGGGTTCTTCCTGAAGTAGAAACACAAATTACAGAATGCGATCTTTGGAATTTCGGAAGTAGGGAAAAGAAGAGGATGTTCACTGCATCCTAAGTCATGGCAGTACATTTCTATCACACTTTAACTCTTCCTTTAAATCGCAAAGGCTCTAAGATAAATATATACAAAGGGAGATACAGATGTGCTGCTTGTATATTGTAGCATGGAGACAGATGCACGCTCTGTCGGCATCCGCTCTGCGCTGGCAGGCTGCAAACCTGTTCCAGATAAGAAGCTTTACTGTCGTGACTGGCAAAGGTTTAGCACTGCCCTGGGATACAGGAGGGGATGTTTGCGCAGGTTTAAGGATGTTCTAATGCAGTTCTGTGGATTTTGAACAGATGTTGGCTTATGTCCACCAGCTCACATCCATCTGCAGTTTTTCTGCAGACAGTATGTAGAGATACCGGAGGTGCGCTCAGTTTGAGTGTATAGATACTAGAACACTACACCACAGCCCTTGCATTGTGAGAAGAGTTTGTGTTCTTGGCGGCAGTCAGCTCAAGCTTCATTTTGGGAAGGACAGCCTAGGTACAATTGTGTAGTAAGAGTGGCATGAGGAAACTGCAACAGCTGGCTCAGGTTTCAAAAAATGAAAATCTTCAAAATCGCACTAGCACACTTCTCTGGCCACGCTGTTTCCTTGATCTTTCTTGCCTAGTTGAGCAGTGGGAGAGGCTGGTAAATGAGCTTAGCAGTTGCGGGTAGCTTTTGCAGCTATTCTATGTTGTGTCGTTATGATCTGGAAAGCAGAAAGGATCTGCCAATGTCTGTATGCAGTCTCAATGACTGAAATGTTCAAAAGCATTTTTTCTGTAGCAGATGGCTTTTATACTCCACAGAATTGTAGCATAGTGTGGCTGCTGAATTAGTAATACAGAATTTGCCTGTAATCAGATATATGTTTAGTGGATTACATTTTTATGCCTGGTGCAAATAATTTCCTTTAGCAGTTTCCCTGGCATGTGAATGAATGTATTTGCTTGCTTTCCACATACTGCTGAGAAGAAGCAAGTAGTTTGGGGTGGGGAGGAAACATGGCTGTAAATCACACAAAATTGGTAGCGTCCTTACTTCATTACAGATTTGCTTCTAACTGCTGAACTAACTTCATCTGTTACCATGCTACTTGCCGTTTTAACAACTGAGGACCCTTGAATTGTGTTGCTTATTTCCAGTACGTAACAGTCTCAGTGCTATGTTTTTATATGGGGAAAAAAGTACTGACAGCTATAAGCCAAATATAATCCTTTTATAATTTTAGTAAAGTAAAAATTTCCTGGCTGATTTCTCCCCCCCCCCCACCCAGCTCAAAAA